GCCAGGACTAGAAACCAGGTTTCCTGACTTGTGGTCCATTCTTTTGTTTTGAGCCTCTGTTTACTAGGTACAGAGCAAGTGCTGTTTCCTATAAAGCACTGAGTAAATGTAAAGTGTCATCACTGTTGTGGTTGTCGCTTTATTATTATTAATTAGGTAGATAAAGTTCAAATAGTTTCATTTCCCCTTTCCATGGTTTATTTTTTTCCTTCCTTTTGTGCTTCTTTACTTGGGTGGATCATTTTAACATCAGACTACCAGTTAAAGTAATTACATTTCTTAGCTATCTGGTAAAGGAAAGGTGTTTAACATAGGCATAAACTATAAAGTCGAAAGCATTCGTGACAATATGAACAAAGGCTGATGGAAGAGTGGAGAGAACATGGAGCTCAGTGATTCAGAGGGAGAGAACCAGCTTTCTCAAGAAGGGAAGGGGGAGAATCTTTGAACATAATACGAGACTAGAGCCGAAACTGGTTTGGCTCAGTGGATAGAGCATCGGCCTGCGGACTGAAGGGTCCCGGGTTCGATTCCGGTCAAGGGAATGTACCTTGGTTGCAGGCATATCCCCAAGGGGGGTATGCAAAGGCAGCTGATCGATGACTCTCTCTCATCGATGTTTCTATCTGTCTATCTCTCTCCCTTCCTCTCTGTAAAATATCAATAAAATATATTTAAAAAAAAAATAGGAGACTAGAGCCCCCCAGCATTAAGTTACTACATGAAAATGATGAACCTGGCCTTGAAAAAATAACAAACTTCAAGTAAAAAAAGTTAAAAACAAAGAGACCACAAAAGAGGAAACCTGCAGGAAAAGTAGGAATAGTAGAAAGGGGGCTGGAGAGGAAAGAAGAGGAGATTTAAAGATATTTTCAAGTAAAAATATGAGAATATTATACAATAAACATAAAAGAAAAAAAAAGAGTAAGAATCAGATATCAGACACAGTAGACTTGAGAGCTGGTGGAATTACTAACAGCACATGGGAACAGAGAGGAGAGTCTGAAAGATGAGCTTTCTTTTTGTAACGCGAGGTTTAAGGTGGCAGTGAGTTCTCACAAGTGGAAAGGGTCTAACAGATAAGAGGTAAATTTGAAAGCTGTGAAGAAAGAGGTAAATTAGAGCTGTTTTGTCCAATACAGTAGCTCCTCACCACATGTGGCTATGGAGCACTTGAAATTGTGGCTAGCATGAACTGAATGTGCTGTAAGTATAAATATACACCAGATTTTGAAGATTTCAGGAAAAAAGAAAATATCTCGCTAACATTTTTCACACTGATTACATGTTGAAATAATATTTGCACGAATTGAGTTAATATATTAAAAATCAATTTTATGTCTTTTTACTTTTTAATGTGACTACTAAAATTTAAAAATGACTAGGTGGCTTGCATTATATTTCTACTGGACACTGCTGATATAGATGTGTATTAACACCACATAAGGGAAGAGAAGAGGTGAGTCACAGACATCATTCTGAGGTCTCTCAACTGAAAACAGATGTGGGAGAAAGGAACACGTCATTATAATAGTTAATATTTACTGAGCACTGGAAGCATTGTGTGTGTTTTTAGCATTGAATTGCTTTTCCTTTTTAAAAAAATATTTTTATTGGTTTTAGAGATGAAGGGAGAGGGAGGAGAGAGATACAAACATCAATGATGAGAGAGAATCACCAATTGGCTGCCTCCTACGGGGTATCCAGCCTGCAGCCCAGGCACGTGCTCCTGACTGGAATCAAATCTGAGACCCTTCAGTCCACAGGCCAACGCTCTGTCCACTGAGCCAAACCAGCCAGGGCAGCATTATGTTTTTTAAAAGTGCATTATCTTATTTGTTTCTCCCAATAACCTTAGGAATATTTCAGTCTTTTATAAAAGAAAAACCTGAGGCCTAAAGAAGTTAATCTGTCCTAATTCACAGTTAAACGTTGGCCTTGTGATTCAAACTCATGACTCACCCCAAATCTTAAACTCTAAATAGCCACATCATCAATTCCAGAACAATTTATACTCTGCAATGATTAAACTGTTAGACTTATAAATGGTTATACTTAAACTAACAATTTATTAGAATGGCTCATTGTCATCTGCAATGATTAAGTTGTTAAGATTTTTAAATGGTTATATTTAAACTAACAATTTATTAGAATAGCTCATTGTCATTTGCAATGATTAAATTGTTAAGATTTTTAAATGGTTATACTTAAACTAACCATTTATTAGAATAGCCCATTGTCATCCACAATGACTAAATTGTTAAGATTTTTAAATGGTTATATTTAAACTAACAATTTATTAGAATGGTTCATTGTCAGAGTCAGTTATATATCAGTAATGTCCTAATTTCTCTTAAGAAAAAAATACAAATGTGTAACTTTGGAATTATGATAAGCTACTGATGTTGGCATATTTTCACCATGCTGCGCCTAAATAAGAGTTTCCAGGGCAACTTCTTACCCTTTATCAATATCTACTCTTAAAAACCCAAACCCATCAAGTTAGATGGTACAATGGAGATGACTGTGGACATAATCCTGATGACAGAGCCCTGTTTTCTGAATATAACTAGACAGATGACAAGGATCCACTTAAATTTTAAACAATGTCTTCCAAACTATAAAAGTACCTGAAGCTCCCAAACTGTGATTTAAATGTTTGGAGAAAAACGGATTAAATTGCAATATTTTGTTGAAGAACCAAAAATTAAGTTTAACCAACGAGAAAAAATTTTAAAATGGATTTTGTATTCCTTGACAATGCAACATTTTCAAGAAATAAAAAAAAAATGGCTTGATACTTTGACTAGAATCATAACATAGCAAAATCTCCTAGAAATATAAATTGGACTAAAAAAAATTAAGGTGTTTTTAATTTATGTTTGCTTGGTTGATTTTAATTTCAAATACAAACTTACCTTCCTTTGCTTTTTACCTATAATTTCTATCACCTATCTGGACTAAACAGCAATAATAGAACCATTGCACTTATACAGTGATGGCTATAATTATATCATTTTCAGAAACTTGCCCATGAAAATTTTACCAAACCGTTTGGCTCAAATTATATAGATAAAAAAATACATGTCCATAGGCTTAACACAAAGATTGCCATCAATTTACACTGTGGAAATGGAAAACCAAAAGGGACTTTGAAGGGAAGAATCTGTTTTGGCGTTAAGACACAATGAGACTGTTCATGTTGGACATGAATCCAAAGGGATATCTCTCTCAACTAACCCACTGATTTATGAATTTCACCCCAGGCCTTGTATTTTTTTTTTTTTTTAAGTAGTGAAACGACTTGGATTTAAAAATAGCTCCTCTGAAGACTCAAAGTTACTGAGAAATGCTTATCTACAGAGGAAGAACCTCAGTTGTATAGAGTAGAGCTTATAAGAGCTTGCCCTTAATTTTGGCTCTTTTGGATTAATTCCCACAACTCTTCATCCAATTAGGGAGTTGTCCTTGGACTTGTTCCCTTACTTATTAGAATTTGTAATAATTTGAAACAAAGGTTCAGACCTGGAGGGAGAGAGCCAGTTAGTCCTAAAAATGATTTGCCCACTGAGGTGTCAAGAGCATGAAGTTGACAGACCCAGGCATAAATGATGGCCACCCAATACTCCCATCACTGAGGATCACCAGATCCACTCTCTCCTTTCCAAGAATATCCCTCTTCTCAAACTTCACTGGAGGTTCTCATCAATTGTCAATTGGGTCGATAATCCTCATAGTCGCATTGCTGCTTCCCATTTGCACATATGCATTAAAGTATGCTGCTTTATTGGGTTAATAAAAAAAACACACACACACAAATAAAACACATTGAGCACTTACTATGTGCCAGGCGCTGTTGCAGCTACTAAAAATATAGCAGTGGAGAACGTGACAAAAATCTCAGCCATACTGAAACTTGCATTCTGGTGGGGGAACATATTCAATCAAGACAAACAAAATCCACAGCAAGTCAAATATCAGATGAAGGGAGAAAATGAAGCAGCTAAGGGGAATATGAACTGTGGTGAATGGGGTGGGGGAGGCTGGAGTTGTAGAGAAAGTGGCTGGAAGAAGGCTTCAGATATCATCAGACATATACTGTGCACCTGAAAGGGTAGAGAGGGCAAAAGCTAGGGCTGATTAGTGTCAGCCGGAGCAGGGAGAGAACAGATTCGCATATTTTACCAGCCCCCAGCCCAAGGGTGGCAAGGAAACCACATGGGAGGGAGGAGAGAAGATAATAGATGGACCTCTGGAGACAAATGTGGGCTCCCCGCTCTGCCTGGGACCAGTGTGTGAGCGGGACACCCGCACTTAATCTTTCCTCGCCACAGAGCCAGGCTGAGCTGCCCAAGCCTTCAGGCGGGTCAGGGGCCAGGGGCAGACACGCCCTCCCCGCGCCCCCCGCCCTCCGCTCCGCCCGGGAGCTCCGTCCGGCGGGGCCGGCGCCGGCGGGCCGGGAGCGGAGTGGGGAGAGCACACCCGCCTCCCGGAGGGACACCTGCCCGCCGCCGCGCAAAGCCGGGAGCGCGGGCCAGCACCCGACACACCCCCGGGACGGCGGGCACGGCGCGGGGGGCCCTGGACCCAACCGTTTAGAGCCCAAACCCCAGAATTTCCGACGCGGGGTCGGCACCGCGCGAGGGAAACGCCGTTCCCCGCGCCCGGAGCGGAGGGAGCGGGAGCGGGAGGCCGGGGCCGCGGGCATGGCTGCGGGAGCGGGTGCGGAGGGAGAGAGGGCGGTTTCGTCGGGCATTCGGGGCGCCGGCCGGCCGCGTGCACCCCGCGGGGGCCTGACGCGAGCGGGCGCCTCGAGGGGCCGGGCCGGGGGGCCGCGGACCCGGACCGAGAGCCCGAGACCCGCCGGCCCCCCGACAGCGACGGATTCCAGCAGTCGAACCCGCAGCTCCCGCACGGCCGCCCCTCGGCCCCTTCCCACCCAGCGCGTCGGTCCGGCGGCGGGAGAAAGAAAGAGGGCGGGGGCGCGCGGCGCCACTCACCATGATCCGCGGCGGCGGCGGCGGCGCGGCGACCCCGGCGGGCGGTGCGCTGTCCAGGGTAGCGGCGTCCTCTGCCCGCGCTCCGGGCGCCGGCCTCCCCGCCCACTCCGCGCCGGCGCACGCTCCCGCCCCCGCGCTCCCCGCCCCCTCGGGCTCGCGCCGCCCCAGCGCGGCGCTCCAGCCGCAGGGCCGTTTCGGGCGCCCGCCGCTCTCCGCCCCCTCCCCTGGCCGGGGCCTCGCCCGCCGCCGCGCGAGGGGCTGCGGAGGGGCGGGGCCGGCCCGGCAGCGGCTCCGTGCGGCCTCGCGCGCCCCCTCGCGGGGGCCCGGCTTCGCCCGCGGCGCCCCCTGCCGGGCGGGCGGTGATATGCAGGCTCAGCGGGCTCTCGCGGGGCTGGGGGGCTCCGCGTTCAGTCTGGGCGAGCAGCCGCCCGCCCGCCGCCCGCCCGTCGCCCGCCTCAGTCTCCGCTCCCCCGGAGGCTGCAATTATTGCGGGACAGTGGGAGGACGGGGGTGGAGGCGGTCAGGGCACTGGTCTTGCTGTTAGTTGGGCTCCTTGGCTTTCAAGCGCACGTTCAAGGAAGAAGGGTCTTGCTCATGCAGATTTGCGGCTGTAGGTGATTTAGAAAGATGAATTAGTCGGGTTCCTTTTAGGGATGAGGTCAGCAGTGGATCAGTCTGAGCAGGAGATTCCCTTTCTGACACTACCTTACATCCAGATTCCAGGGGCTAATGCTGTTAATGGTTATTTTACCACATATTTGTGAACAGGAAGTATGGGGTTTTAGATCCTGGGCTTTAAATTTTTTTCCTCCCTTCCTCCTTTTCTTTCGTTTTTATTTACTAGAGACCTGGTGCACAAACTCTTGCACAGGCGGCATCCCGAGGTGGCACTTGGGATGTGATCGGCCCTCCGAGTGGGCAGTGGGATGCCTTGCTGCCTGGGATTCAGATCTGGGAGGTACCTGGCGACCGCTTTTATATCATTTCTTCCTTGCAGGGCACCTAGGGAGGGGAAGCTGCTGCAGTGCCTGAGGTTGACTTCCAGGAGGCCGGCGGTGCTGGTCCATCAATGCCTGGCCTGTTCTCAGGAGATTGGACCTGCAGTCTGCTGAGGGAATGAGTGGCTGCCACTGGGTTTGTGGGCCACCCAGAGGGGTTGGTCAGCTGAGCACACTCCTGCTGTGGGAGTGCACTGACCACCAGGGTGCATCTTCTGCATGGAGCATCTGCCCCCTGGTGGTCAGTGAGTGACATAGCAACTGGTCGTTTGGTCGTCAGTCACTTAGGCATATACATACAATATATGTATGTATATTTTTGTCACCCAAGGTGAAGATGTTGGGAAAAGTAAGAGTATTACATGACCTTTCCTTAAGAATGTGTATTTGCTTTATATGGCCAGTGTGGTAAACTGAAATGCAAGCAAAGTAGACATATTTATTGGTGGTGGGAACATCACATCTGGATGTGCACAGAGGAACTAGCCTGACTATTCTACACTTGAAGTGATGCAGAGGTATTTGTAGTTTTGTAAAGTAGCACAGTGAATAAACAGGTACCATTTCTAAGTCTTTTTTTTTAAATATACTTTTATTTATTTTATTTTTTAAATAATTCTTTATTGTTGTAAATATTATATATTGCCGGAAACGAATCAGTTTCTCTAAAAGAGAGATGTTGACAGGAAGCCAGGAAGGCTGGTCAGCAACCTCAATTGCTATAACCACTCACCCTTTAGTTGAGACATTGTTAGCTGAAGCAGCCTCCACCTTGTTTGTCCCATGTAAGTTTCTGTTATTTCCTGCCTAAGATGTTTTCCCCAAAGCCTCAATAAAAGGGATGGCAGGGCCAGAGCAGGAGGAGTGCTCCCACTAGAGTTGGACTACTCCTGGCCCCCCATATCACCAAATTGAATTTCTCTAAGTTTTTTCATTTGTGTGCAGCCCTTCTCCAGAACTCGAACCCTGAATTGGAACCCTTTCCATGCAGGATGTGAGATTCCTATAATATATGTCCCCTTTTTGTTTCCATTGACCCCCTCCAGCCCTTACCCACCTCAGGCCTTCATCATCCTATTGTCTGTGTCCATGGGTTATGCATGTCTAAGTCTTAATTGTCATATAATCACCTAATATTTAGAGTTTTCTATAGTTAGAGTGCTAAACATGTGCATGTGGTTAACTTTAGACTACAAATAAGTAGATATTTGTTAACCAAGTCTTTTAAAATTTCACTACTGTGGACTCAGGAGCCAGTCCTTCCACATACTGGCATTGTGATATTGGATTAGTTATTTAAACTCTCTGTGCTCCAGTTTCCTGATCTATAAAATGGAGGTAAAAATGGCATACAACATATTATTGTTAGGATTACATTAACATGAATAAAACACTAGAAAAACTTCTGGTACAAGAGTAGTAGTTATTGATATTTTTGTTGATCTGATGCCTGTGGGAATCAGAAAGTGATATTCTATTTAATGCTGGCATCCTATATAATAAAAGGCTAACATGCAAATAGACTGGATGGCAGAACAACCAAACAACCACCAGGGGCCATGTGCAGAACATGGCAGGGGTGCCAGACTGGGGTGAGACACTGGTCACTGTCATGGGCGTGAGCCTCTGGTGGTAACTGAAAATTCTTTGCTCTCACACACCATGGTCCTAACCAGTGCTCTTACCCGCTGATGGCACGGGAGCTACTGCTTGCATCAACTGCCGGCACTAGCCCTGCTTGCACCCTCAGCTGGTGCCAGAACCACTGCTAACACCCACTGCTGGTGCCCAGCACCAGACCCGATCACTCGGTGCCATCCGCAGGTGCAAGTGGCGGCTGCCTGCCCTGATTGGCCCTGAGGGCTTTTCCACCTCCTCCTGCTCCTGAGGGGCAATCAGGACAGCAGCCACTGCTCACACCCACTGACAGCGCCGGCCCCAATTATTACTTCCATGCCATCTGCGGGTGTGAGTGGCAGTGGGAGTGGGACTCCCCTCAGACAAGAACCATGGGAGAGACCGGGCAGGGGCATGGAGGGTGGGCTGAGACCCACCCCTGTGCCCATTGCAGCCTCATGGCCCACAGTTCCTTTCAAGGTACACAAATTTGTGCACTGGGCCCCTAGTTTTTTTTATAGAAAGTGTCCATATGACCAGAACTAAGCATACAGTTTAATACCAGTTTCAATCATTCATTCATTCATTCATTCATTTTGCTCATTCAATAATATTTGAGTGCATCCTATAACAGGCATTGTAGTAAGACCTGGGGATAGAGTGACAAATGTACAAACAAGGCCCCTGCCTTCATAATCTATGATGATCCATATTATGACATCCAATGACTGGAAGGAAATTCACCCAAATATTCACCGAATATTAACTGTTTTTCCCCCAAATAAGAGTGTTATAGAATTATTTTTCTCGTTTTAATTTTTTTCATTTTCCAGATTTTTAAAAACATATTTTATACTTTTAAAGCCATAAAAATAGTTTCCATGTGCTTTGGATATTAAACTAGCAAATACAGGATCAGAATTTCACTGTATCATTAATCTGATGTAGTAGCATATGAATTCTAATCTAGATAGTGATCCTCAGACATTTTTATGTGCAAATTGTACCTGAGGATTTATACAACTGCAGATATCTTGGACTCATCCAGTTGATTGCTGGTGCAGGCTAGGAATACATTTTTTTAAATTGTTTATGCCCTAACCAGTTTGGCTCAGTGGAATACAAATTTTTAACAAGTATCACAAATAATGCTGATGTAGGCAGGTAGCCCATGGACTACATTTTGAGAACAAAAGACTATCATCTACTTAGGGAAAATGTTAAATAATCTTTTTAACAAAATTAAGGGTGCAGGAAGTATGACAACCAGCCTCTAAGCACCCTGCTGTTTGCTTGCAGGAATTGTACCTTTAATGTTATCTATACCTTGCAAAGCATACCAGGTTAACATGTGGAAGAAATTCTTAAGCTTTGAACTATCTCTATACTTCCCCCTGCCATTTAGCCTGATAATCATTATTTTACACTTATCTATGAAGGTATATCAACCCACAGGGCCAGAAGGAGGTCTAAAATGTCACCTATATCTTATCTATTTCTTAAAATATTATTTTATGGCTTTTCTTGTCATTATAATAAAGGAAAAAGATGGTCAGAGGGTATTTTTTTTCCACCAAAGTTGTTCTACCTCTATAAATACAGAACTGGGATAGTACCTTAATGTTCTAAACAGATATAACATGAATTCCCTCTTACCTATCAAAATATTTTAATAAGTCATCAACATGATTTGATAATGTTTTATTTATTATTTGTTCTCTTGTAGGGATTATACAAAAGCTGAAATCTACTTGTGTTTCTTAGCTGTAAGGCAAAACTGCATTGAGGATGTGTGCCAGTTATAGTGCCACAATAACAGAATTGCAGCCTAATCATGTCTTAGAAATAGAGATCAGACTTTATCTTTTCTATGTTTATATTTTATAGGTGAAGAAAGTTTATCTCAGAGAAGTTAGAGATGACCAGCCACTAATAGATTATAGCCCTAAAGCATGCTCTCCTGACCCCTGGTCCAGTGTTCTCATTGTCACTCCTGCCTCTAGCAACAGACTCTGAAGTCACATCCTTCCCTTGGGCATATACTTTGCCTCTGTGTAAAGAAATCTCTGTACCGGAGGATCCAAGATGGCTGCTCGGGTAGACACCTAACCACAGCAGCACACAACAATTTCAATGGAATACAACTAAAATGTAGAGTGGACATCGCCCAGAGCTACAGGTAGTCGACTGACTGAAAATTCTACAACAAGAAGGAAAGAGAAAACCAGAAGGAAAATCAGAGGAGCTGAAAAAAAGCCTAAGGTACGGAGACATGCTGCGCGCTCGCACGCACGCGCACACGGAGAGGTCGCACCCAGAGAGGAGGAGAGGGCTGGGTGCTGCCTGGCGTTCCCTAGCAGGAAGGAAATAAAAACCCCAGCCTGGGCTAAACCCCCCGAACTGCAGCGCTGACCCACAGTTATGAGCCAGACCCTGGGGACCCAGGCTCCGGCGGGGGAGACGGGGCTGTGAGGCGGAATCCCAAGCAAGCAGCGAAAAGCAGGGCCCCCGGAGTCACACGCACATTGTGCGCAGAG